ACAGGGGTAATACACCGCCAATTTCCTGACTCCGGGTAGCTACTGAGAATTTCTTGATGAAAAAGCTCGTTAACTCATTTTTTTTTATAACTCGGACCCGTAATAATTGAAACCGGGACCACATGATCACAAGTAGCACTACTACAACCACTAGACCAAAGAGGCAGTCAAATAAATAAATTTATTTGTTCGAAATAACAGCTTTTTACTTACAACATATTATGACAGTACATACATTAAACCAAATTAAAAAAAAAATTAAAAATTTGGTTTTTTTCTCTTTGTTTGTTTGTTCCGGCTAGTCTCCAAAATGGCTGCACCACACACTCTAAGTTAGTTTGCCATTATGTAAAAATTTAAAATAAATAGTTTTAAAGCCGCGGCCTACCACTATTCGTCCTCTATAAGCTTCGATTAACAATGTTTAAAACATATTAGTTATTCCGGATCCCTACTCGCTTAATTCCTTGGTCAGACTTAGCTGTCAGGTCTAATTAATTATTTGAAATAATTTCTCGGTATATTCTATCTACACACTATCTGTTTCCCGCGAATTTGTCTGCGTGGAATTTATTACGATTGTACTTAATGGGTTTAATTTTTTTTTGCGCGGTACCCTAATTCTTTTTCTATAATAAAAGTAGCCCAAGTGTGTGGTGCAGCCATTTTGGAGACTAGCCGGAACAAACAAACAAAGAGAAAAAACCAAATTTTTAATTTTTTTTTTAATTTGGTTTAATGTATGTACTGTCATAATATGTTGTAAGTAAAAAGCTGTTATTTCGAACAAATAAATTTATTTATTTGACTGCCTCTTTGGTCTAGTGGTTGTAGTAGTGCTACTTGTGATCATGTGGTCCCGGTTTCAATTATTACGGGTCCGAGTTATAAAAAAAAATGAGTTAATGAGCTTTTTCATCAAGAAATTCTCAGTAGCTACCCGGAGTCAGGAAATTGGCGGTGTATTACCCCTGTGCCTCTGAAAGCGCGTAAAGCCGTAATTGATACTGCACCTGATCTCTCCGGTCGTATCGGTTTACCGTCCCATCGAATTAAGACAGTAAGGAAAAAGAGAGGGCACATGTACTTACGCATACACTTGGTCACTATAATCCTGTCTTGCGCAGATGGCTAGTCTTCGCTGTGACCGGAATTCGGTCTGGAGAATATTATATCTATGTATTGATAATAAAGCAGGTTTGAGGTTTCTTATGGTTGCTTCTAGATGCTGGCCACCGTAACCGAAATTTCGGTCTGGAGAACATTACATATTTTTATTGATAATAAAGCAGTTTTGAGGTTGCATATGGTTGCTTATAGGTGTTAGGGCCCCTTATCTGTCTAGGAATTCGATTGGGTGGGTGGAACTCACTTTACTAGTTCTTTCGCAAGCAGCAATTTTTTTAAAGATAATCGTAACAAACGAGCACAGTCCACCTGATGGTAAGTTGATGCTGTGGCCCTTAGAGAAGTACATTTGTAACCGATGAGGAATCAAAAGGCAGGATAGAATAGAATAGAATAATTTTTATTCAATATACATTACATGTGTAATTCTTATTTAGTCATTTTTTACTTTACCACTGGTTCGAAAAAAAACCCTCTGTCTTGGGAAGAACCAGCAAGAAACCCAGCGGGACTTTTTTTAAATAAAATTTACAATATAAATGATTACGAAATATTTAAGAAATTTATTTTAGAAACTGCTTGGAATAACCACCTCATTTCCAGGGGTTATTATCAACCATGTGTTCATTTATACTATAATAACCCTTTTTATAAAGTTTCAGCTTAATAAAACATTTGTACTTGGTAATACAGAGAACCTGTACACTTTCCGGGACCTTGTTGTAATAGCGTATACATTGCCCCAAGAATGAATTACTGACTATGTGGAGTCAAGAAACTGGCATCACTAGCTTATATTTGTTCCTAGTGTTTACATAATGTATATCACTTTTTTTTACTAAAATTATCTTTGTTTTTGTGAACACACATGAAATTTTCGTAAATATACTGAGACGCCAAAGTTAATATATTAATTTCTTTAAATTTATCTCTAAGAGACTCTCTCGGTTTTAGATTGTAAATAGCTCTAATGGCCCTCTTCTGTAAAACAAAAATAGTTTCTGAATCAGCCGCATTTCCCCATAGCAAAATCCCATAAGACATTATGCTATGGAAATAATTGAAATAAACTAATCTAGCTGTCTCGACACTAGTTAGACCTCTAATCTTTTTGACAGCATAGGCTACAGTACTTAGTCTGCTTGCTAATTTGGATATATGGGGGCCCCACTGAAGCTTTGCGTCGAGAGTGATGCCAAGAAAAACAGTGGTTTCAACAGGGCTCAGTACTTCCCTATTTAAAAACACATTGGTATTCAGATTTTTAACATTCGTTGTTGTAAATATAACACAATTAGTTTTATCTCCGTTTAAATGTAAATTATTAACGTTAAATCAATGCACTAATTTAATTGTTTAATTATTCACTTCGCCACATTTAAATGATTGACGTTTAACTTTAAAAATCAAGGAAGTATCATCAGCAAATAATACTTTATCATGACTATCCCCTGCAAGGTGAGGTAAGTCATTAATACACACCAGAAACAGGAATTGGCCGAGAATCGACCCCTGAGGGACACCCATTAATACAGGTGACCCGGAAGAACTTTTACCAATGATAATAACCTTCTGCTTTCTATTACTTAAATATGAAATAATAAGTTTAAGCGCTGTGTTCTTGACACCATAGTACTGTAGCTTCCTGATTAATGTCTCATGGTGAACACAGTCGAAGGCCTTGGAAAGGTCACAAAATATACTCAAAGCATAAATTCTCCCTTGCACATAAAATATGTTTAATAAGCTCAACTCTAGCGTCAGTTGTCGAACGACCCCTTGTAAAATCGAATTGATTTTTATGTGCAATTTATTAATATTAAAGAAACTAACATCTGATCTAAAATATGGTTTTCAAAAATTTTACTTAATGTAGGTAGTACAGAAATTAATCTAAAATTTTGCGGGGTTTAATGTACTACCAGATTTAAATATAGGTATGACTTGACTATGTTTCATTAAATCAGGAAACACACCAGATTCTGCGCTTATATTAAATATAGTGGCTAGATAAGGTGCTATTATATCTATTATAGATAAAATAACTTTAACGGAAATCCCCCATAATCTGCTGTTTTCTTAAAATCAATAATTTTAAAATATTTAACGATATCTTTTGGCAATACTCTATCTTTTTCACGACGCTCTTATACGATCGTGCGTTCAACTTTACAAAAATATTTTCGCGCGCTCGGTCAACTTTACGAGACGCGGCCGATACCACACGGTAGTGCGTTTAGTATAGTGTGAACTTTGCCGCAAAGGTTATACCTGTGAGAAGTTGTCGCGGATTTCTGCCCTTTTCAAAATGGCGGTGCAGCTGATCGACGCGCGTGGAAATAGTAAGTAATGATTAAAAATATTTTTAATAGTGATTGACTACATTGATTGTGCGATTTTAATAGGTTATAAAGTCAAGTCCATGAGACAACTATATTTCAATGCGTACTTACCTCTATTGGACACGAAGATACTTGGTTGTTAGTTCAAACACGCACGATAGTGCGAGTCCGGCTTTAACTCGTCTATTAAAATTTATGTTGATTAAAAATATGATCAATGTTTTTAATGTTTTTAATCGGTAAAAAATTACAAAACTCTCTTTTTTCTGTTGCAGAAAGAACATTAACCTCGGAATACTTACTAGAATTGATAGCAGACGGAAACGAGTCTGAGATAGAGGGTTTCGAAGATGAGGAATGTCATGAAGAGGAATCAAATCAAGGAAGCAAATCAGTCGTATTCGGACGATAATATTTCTAACAGCGAGCAAGAAGAAGAAACAACTAACATTCAGGTACCAGAAATAAGTCCTAGTTCGAATACAATCTGCGCTGGATCTCAATGTGGTCTTTCTGTAAGTCACCGGCATCATCTACCTGATCGTTCATCAAGCGCACCAAGCACATCTCATGGTAATTCTCGGTACCGCGCGAGAGACCGCATGGGTAGAAATGATCAGCTGCCTGATTTATCTGGTAATCCGCCACCTAGCGTTCATGCTCAGTCCGAGGCAGCTCAACGCAACAGGGATCCGTCTAGGCAAAAGCTATAGAAATCTATTCCATTTGACCAAAAAAGAACATAATTTTCCGCCACGGGAACAACAAACAATTAGAACACTTAATTGTTTGTTGTTCCTACTCTAGAATACTTCGAGAACTATTTTGACGATGCATTTTATAAGAAAGCTGCTTACTGCACAAATAATTACTACTTGAGGCAAACTTGAAGGGTTCTTCATACTAATCCTGTAGAAATGAAGAAGTTCATTAGTGTGCATTTTATAATGGGGTGCATAATTTATCCACGACTTCATATTTACTGGAGGCAAGAAATGAGACTGGCATTAGTAGCTGATATCATTCCAAGAGACCGACTGAAGCTGTTGCGCACAAATTTTCATGTGGTGGAAGAGGATATCGCCCCAGTTGGTAATAAGAACAGTCTATGGGAGGTACAACCGGTATTAAATCAGGTAAAAAAATGCTTGTGAGAAAATAGAAAGGCTACCGGGTTACTTTTCTATAGACGAACAAAATGATCCCCTTCTGCGGCTTGTGCCCAAAAGGTCTACACCAAGCCATAAAGTCCAAACCTAGACCCACCGGCTTGAAAGGTTTTGTAGCCACAACAAGCGATGGTCTAATGCTCGACTTTGAAGTCTATCAAGGGGCTAACACCCCATTCACAGATAAATCTCTGGGTGTGGGTGCAGCAGTTATTTTGCACCTTTCCAAATCCATTCCCCCAGGAAGTTGCATTTACTTCGATTGTTATTTCACGTCAATACCTCTCTTGGAAAGATTATCTGAAAAAGGAATGCATGGCACAGGAACGGTTATGATGAATAGAATACCTGACAAAAATATATGACTTTTAAAAAGGGCCGTGAAATAAACCGAGGAGATACTGAACAGTTCGTAAATAATGGTGTTGTAATTGTGCACTGGATGGACAACAAATCCGTTCTGGCGGCATCCAATTGCACTTCGGCAGACGATCATATTTTCGTGAAGCGATGGAATAAAAAGGAGAATGCGTACATCAATGTCAGGCAGCCCCTTATCATTACCAATTATAATCGTAACATGGGAGGAGTTGACGTCCTCGACCAATCAATCGAGTATTATCGAACTTTTATGAAGACCAAAAAATGGACTTTGAAGATAATGTTACATTTTTTTGATCTTGCAGTCGCAAATGCTTGGCGTTTATACAAAATACACTGCCAGACGGCTCACGTACATAGGGCTCTCTTTGACTTACTTCAATTCAAATTGCAAGTAGCTGATGGTCTTACCAATACTCCTGATCTTCCAAGGCCAGAACAAGATCCTGTTGAAAACATGGAATGTTTGGAGGTTCAAGATCCGGAAAATGTCGACCCAAATATTCCTGCCAAGAGATACCGACCGGCTAATGTACCTTCAGAGGCGAAACGTCACGATGGTTAGGAACATTACCCGGTATTTAACGAGATCGAAAACCCTCGATCCTGTTGAATGGAAGGGTGTACAAGTAGATCCAAGATAAGATGTGAAAAATGCAACGTGTATCTTTGTCTTAACAGAAAAGGCAACTGTTTCACATCCTTACATAGGCAATAATTAGAGCCTAAGTTTCCTAAGATTTTAGTTCAAAGTGATTGTACCAAAATGTTTAAGAAATGATTAAAGTTAATTTTTAGTTTAAATGTTGATTAATTAATTTTTTATTTATAAAAATAAATAATTACGAATAATCATGCTTTTTTTCATTATAAATTACAAAAATATACATAGCAAAGTTATACCTTAACAAAATTCTGATAGACAAAGTCAAGCCGACATCGAACTATCGTGACATGACGTTTTCTCAGGGGGGGAGGGGGCGGGATTATTTTATTATTTTTCTAGGATGACTTTGGATATGGGTACTTAGAATATAAGATCGAAAACGAGCTACGTAAGATTTTTTTTCTTGACCTTAAAGGGCTATGGAATTTAAAAGTATATTTTTTATAGGAGAGGGGGCAAACGAGCATGCGGCTCACCTGATGGTAAGTGACTACCGCCGCCCATAAACAACTGCAACACCAGGGAGGGAATTATTATCAGGCCTTATTTGAACTAGCCTTTACATTTTGTTTGAGCAATAATTCGGCGACAATAGGAGAACAAATTAATGATTTTGTTGTCAAAGAAGGAACATCAGTAAAATGTCAGTAAAATGTTTCTCAAAAGTGATAGCAACTTCTTGATCAGATCGCGTTAAATTATTGTTAATATTCAATTGAAAATCCGAGTTGCGCAGTTTGACCTTGCCCGTTTCACTATTTACTATTCTCCAGGTCATTTTAATTTTGTCGGATGCAGATTTAGTTTTTTTGCTTAAATGTAAAGCCTTAGCAGTGGAGGACACTTTTTTTAAATATTTTAGAATATGTTTTTACATAATCTCTAAATATGTCACTACTATTATATGATCTTTTATCATAAAGCATCTTTTATCGTATAACATTCGCCTACGTTTATAAATTCCTCCTGTCGCCCATTCATTAAATGATTTTCGACTGTAAAAAGAGAAATTTTTAGAAGTAAATATTCTACTAAATTCACAAGTTATAATTTTAAATAACATACCATACAAAAAATTAGCACTGTTTTTAAATGAAAGTGATGGAAGTCTTTTTATTATATTTCTTCTAAACCTCTCCAAGCGATATTCATTTATTGGAACAAACACAACTTTCTTACTTCTCTGTTTATTGGGTATGTTAGGTAGTGATACCAACTGTCCACAGTTATCTGAACTTAAATTTGGAATAATTGATTTATGCAATGGCTTAACATCTGTAAAAATGTTATCTATACAGGTCGCACTAGGCCCAGCAATACGTGTTGGTTCGAAGAATAAATTAACAAGATTATACGATTTAAGCAATGAGCTAAACTTAATACTAATGGAAGGAGTTTCGAGGAGATTGATGTTAAAGTCTACATATTACAACAGACTTGTTCTGTTCTGTACTAAGTTCGAGTAAAACTTCTTCCACAATCCTTTCAAAATAGTCATAAGTAGCACATGGGGGTCTAACTAACAACAATGAGGTGCTCGAGCTCGACACAAGCCATTTCTACAGTTCGCTCAACAGAGAGGCTCACAATATCCTTACGTTCTTTATATAATAATGACTTATCTGCTAATATTAAGGAGCCACCACTTAAACTTTTTTCTCTATTGAAGGAACTGACCACCTGGTGATTTCTGAAATTAAACATGAAATTATAATCTTTTAGCCAATGTTCAGTAATACAAAGGACGTGTATATTGTTACTATGTAAAAACAATTCAACTTCCAATTATTTGCACATCATGCCTTGTATATTTTGATGCATCAGGTGTAAACAATTTTTATTACTTATTTGTGGGCTGTATTCAAAATTAATTAAAATCTATTACTATTATTACTAGAGATTGCCTCTATTGTCACATGCACTTATTTAAATTAGTTGGAACTGATTCCAAAATATATGTCAAATGATTTTGCTCAATAAAAGCAGTCTTGGTAGCCAAAAACTTGCTGAGTTAAAAAGTAAATAATAAGATAGCACATTTGCTACCAGTCTTAAATTATATTTGGATAGGTAATACCTATGTTTTGTCCAAAACTTTTTTATTAAATTATTTGTATCAATTACATGAAATTTATTATGGTTATCTATAAAGTTTTCCCATCTGGTTGGTCTGTTTAAATATATAATTATAAACTAAATATATAAACATACATAAATATCAATAAAATAGTATAAATACATAAAAAAAAATATTATTATTATTATCATTACAATTATATGTCAAATTTAAATTATTATTACATATTAAATTATGTATTTTTATATTTAAATTATGTCTTAAATTATTTTCCTGTGGCAATCCCTGTATATAAGGCAGTGTGTACAAGACAATTTTGTGTACATTTAAGTTATTAAGTTGTTCAATACGAGTATATCTTAATAACTGTTTGTTGTTTACACTGCCTCTTCTACTTACAAAAATTATTATTGTACTATTTGGGCAAAATTTAGTAACAATAATTTTATTTAGGATGTCACTAAAATATGCTCCAGGCATGCAGGAATTTGTAACTTTTTGTCCCTTTAAAGAAAGATTTTTTCCTATGTCATCCCTATACACAATTATATTATTTTAAGTAATATTTTTGTTTATTATTATTTTAATATCCTCTGCTATGGCACTGTCATAGAGTTTTGGTGGTGGTATAATATTATCAGCACACACTGACTCTGAACTAGCTGGCATTGAACGCTGAAACTCACATTGATATTTAACTAAGGAGTCAAACCGCTCCTCATTATATTTACAAGTCTTTACCAGATTATCCATAGCCAATATGTGTTCTTTTATTTCATTTTGGGCTGATTTATATTTATTGGATACAGTTTGAAGGGAGTTAATAAGTGATAATATTTCTGATTTAAGGCACTCTACTTCAGTCTCATAACATTTTTTTATGTTATCCACCTCAATTGAATACAACTTAAGTTCATTTAACAATGCTTGCTTTTCTTTACATACATTAACATAATTTTTGGTATTAATCTTATTTCTTATTAATTTTTGTACTTTCCTTATGTATTTATTTACTTTTATATACTTCTTCAATTTGGTTTTACTGCAATTAATCCTTACTGTGTTTCCTGAAGTGGAAGAGTCGTCACCAGTCTAGTCTATTGTTGCAGATTGCTGTAACATTCTTGAAGTATCACATTGCACAAGCTCAGAGAACAGGCTTTGAGTCTGGAAGGCTTTAAGGTTATCTATATATATTTTAAATTGTGGTATTTGCTCATTAGCCTCATTCAACTGTATTTTCAATGCAGCAATTAACCTGAGAGCTTCCTCATATTCCTTGCTGTATTGGTCAAACCCATTAACCGTTCCCTGTAGCTGATCTCTTTCTTTTATAACACTTATGTATTCTGTATGTAACTTAACCATATGACATTTCAATTGTGTATTTTTGGAAATTATGCTAACTATTTCCCTTTCATTATCATTCCTTTCCTTAAGCAACAGTTCACACTGCTCCCTGAACGCCTTAAGTTCTTGGAGCGCAAGCTGGAGTTGGTTCTCCATCTGGCGCGTCTTTGCGTTGCGAGTATTCATTTTACTATTTATAATAAATAATAAAAGAAAACAAAGATAGAAAACAGAAGGAGCAGAGTAAGCTAATGTAAAGTTGTTGTTGTTTTTTTTTTCTATTTACAAGTTTCAAATCAAATTATCGAATCAAACCCGCAAAGAATTGTAATAATCCGAGTAATAGAATAAATCTTTAATTTATAAAAGGAATGATATGAAATAAGAACTACAATTATTTTAAAACAATGTTTGTTACCTTCTGGATATAGAGAGCCAGTTTAATTACAGGTTGTGATACATCCATTTTAGTTCGCAGAGATAACATCACATCTACATATGTTTGTTTGAAGTCGGTTGCAAGTGCAAGCAAAAAATGAGGGGGTTGTCTATTCTACTCTATTTTTTAAGGATTAGCTCAGAACTTTCTTCTAAGTGAACCGATGATGACAATTCTTTTTTTTTTATTTGTAAGCTGGAGCCTTTCACGTGGTCCCATATGATATTTGATCAAGATTAGATCAGTAGTTTTTGAGTTATACTTAATAATGAGTATTTTTCACCAACGCTGTTTCTTCTGCATATCAATGATATGTTGCTAACTGGTAACATTCATTGCTATGCGGATGACAGCACTGGTGATGCTCTATACGCCGGCCGTGCCAATATTTCTCGGGAAAACGTCGCCGAGTACCGGAACAAACTTGTTTCTGAAGTCGAGCCTTTCTTTTTCTAAACAAAGTCTCGGATTGGGGGCGACTAAATCTACTCCAGTTTAATCCTCAGAAGACACAAGTTTGCGCGTTAACCGCTAAAGAGAACCCCTTTGTCGTATCTCCTCAGTTTCAATGCACTCCCCTTCTTGCCTCAGCCAGTATCGGTATCCTCGGAGTCGACATATCGAGTGACGTGCAGTTTCGTGGTCACTTGGAAGAGAAGGCCAAATTGGCCTCTAAAAAGCTTGGCGTGCTCAGCAGAGCGGGACAGTATTTCATGCCGGCACACCGCCTGCAACTTTACAAGGCGCAAGTTCGGCCTCACATGGAATACTGTTCCCATCTCTGGGCAGGGGCTTCCCAGTGCCAGCTCCTTCCACTTGACCGCACCCAGCGCAGAGCGGCTCGAATCGTCGACGACCGAGCCCTTTCCGATCAGCTCGATTCATTGGCACTGCGAAGAGATGTTGCATCCCTTTGCATTTTCTTTCGCATCTACCATGAGGAGTGCTCTGAGGAATTGTTCGGATTAATCCCAGCCGCCAAATTTCACGAACGCACATCGCGGCCGAACTCCCGATACCATCCACACCATC